TCAAGGAGCTCAAACAAAGTTGTGATTGACCGGTTCAACATTGTCAAAATAAAATCTTTGGTCCATTCTTGTGATGAAGACAATGTTCAGTAACAAGGATAGAACTTTACACGTTCTTTAATGATTACCAAAGCTTGATGAGGTATCTATCAAATAGTGTCAATCTAAAGGATTATACGTTTAAGAATCACCTACGTAAGTGTGAAGTGTAAGCCGCTTCAAGGAGAATTCTGTAAGGCCAATTCTCTACGCTCTTATGAGACCAGGCGGTGTTCATGGCTAAAACGAACACAACAATGAGAACCAAGAGACGGTTAAGGGTTGGTTGTATGACATATGGTTGTCTAGGTATACACTAAAGTTCGACNTACAATGGAATTAGAGTTTATAGCTTTGGATAAAGCCGGTGAAGAAGCTGAATGGCTTCGAAATTTCTTAGAAGACATTCCGTTCTGGCCAAAGCCTTTGGATCCTATTTGCATACATTGTGATAGTGAGGCTGCCATAGGACGAGCATGGAGCGTTATGTACAACGGAAAGTATCGTCATATACGATGAAGACATAACACCGTTAGACAACTACTTTCTAGTGGAAATATCACTATTGATTATGTAAAATCAAAGGATAATGTGGCGGATCCGCTTACAAAAGGCTTAACTAGAGAGGGAGTTGAGAAATCATCTAAGGGAATGGGACTATGGCCGAGGACAAGTCAACATGGCGGTAACTCTACCTAGAATTTTGGATGTTCCGAGATCTAGGTTCAAGGAGCTCAAACAAAGTTGTGATTGACCGGTTCAACATTGTCAAAATAAAATCTTTGGTCCATTCTCGTGATGAAGACAATGTTCAGTAACAAGGATAGAACTTTACACGTTCTTTAATGATTACCAAAGTTTGATGAGGTATCTATCAAATAGTGTCAATCTAAAGGATTACACGTTTAGGAATCACCTACGTAAGTGTGAAGTGTAAGCCGCTTCAAGGAGAATTCTGTAAGGCCAATTCTCTACGCACTTATGAGACCAGGCGGTGTTCATGGCTAAAACGAACACAACAATGAGAACCAAAAGACGGTTAAGGGTTGGTTGTGTGACATATGGCTATCTAGGTATACACTAAAGTTCGACGGTTCAAAGATATCAAATCTACCGATTGACCGAGTATATCCGACATATGTTCACTACGGAAAGTTCAAAGGGAAACCTACTTATCCAGATGCAATTAATCCTTACTTGCAAAATCACATAGCTTTCATCTATGATCTTTCTTGATACAGTCATTCCCATTCATGTGGGGGATTGTTGGACTTTAAGCTATTGGGCTTTAAAGTAGAAGAAGTGTGAATTGGAAATGGAGGGAAATAAAATGTAGAAAAAATGAAAAATTTGAAGAAGTGAACTTTTGTCTTGCACTTTGTCCCTCATTGGTGAGGGACAACCACATTTGTGTGCTTATATATAGAATCACTTCTTAAAACTCTTAAAAGGAGTTGAAGAGAATGAACCCTCGCGCTGTCGTCGTCGTCGCTCGCTCTGCTTGGCTTTGGATTTGGATTTGGATTTGTCAAATGATCGGCTTGGCTTTGGATTTGGATTTGTCAAATGATCGATAAGATTATTTTTTGGACAAAATTTATTTAATTATTTAATAATTAAATGCCAAATCACTGCTGAAAATACGCCAGAATCCTACTGAAGGTTCAGAGGGTCTCTCTGGCCGCGGTTCTACCGCGACCGTAGTGGAACCGCGGCAGGGAGATTCAGAGAGCCTCTCTGACCGCGGTTCTGCCACGGTGGGAGATTTAGAGAGCCTCTCTAACCGCGGTTCTGCCGCGGTCGCGGTAGAACCGCGGCAGGCAGCGTATTCTTCTGAAAAGGCACCTTTCCAGACACCTCTTCTGATAATTGCCTATAAATTCTGAGGCAAGGCTCCATTTTCTAGACACGAAAAACACTCCAGAACTTCTTTCTTTCTGAATACACTGCATCCTAATTCGCAATCTCTCTCTCTCAAAATTCGTAAGTGTGATTTTGCTCCGTTCTTTGAGTTCGTTGGTATCCTGCAGTTTGTATTGCCACTGTTGCAGGAAGGTTTATTCCGTTTTATCCTGAGAGGATTTAATCCATTACCTTGGCAACTTGTGAGGGGGTTAAAATTCCTTAAGGACGCACAAGAAAATTGTGGACTCGGAATATTTCTGATTCTTTATTGTTTTCTAGATTTCTTTATTCTTCTAACAATTTTGTTTTTCTGATTTTTGTTTTAACACAATATTGCTCACATGTCATTATCAGTTTCTTTGATTCATTGTATCAAGTAAATTAAGTACATAAATACAAACCCATATATTGTGTCAATAGACATGGAACCAAAATGTCTTGCAATGATAAGTTTTAATTGTCAAATCGAAAAGTCCTTAATTTTATGGTGAATAGATTTGTTTAAGAACATGACCATGAGTTTATTTGGCCAAAATAGAGACATCTTCTAAGATTTGCTTGTTCGATCTAGCTAGAGATTGGAAATAAGGTCATTATAATGCTGGTTTATGACCAATTGCAACGTACTCTTACTTGGCACAAAAAGCTGAATAGCAGTAGATGTTATAAGCTATTCCAAGAAAGATTGCTTTAATTTTATAGACATGCATGTTAATGACATATCAAGTTAACCCATGGATGCCCAAACTGTTGTTATGAATTTAATGATAAACAAGCACATACACTTTTAGAATTGAACGCCAAAAATATGTAGCCAATTCTAGATCGATATCACTAAAAAGAATGGTCATACGCACGTCAGAATCTAATAAAAACATCCCAACAGTATAGAGGGTGTTTGGCTAAGCTTATAAGCTGGTCAAACTAGCTTATAAGCACTTTTTGCCTTATCTACGCGTTTGGTAAAGTTAAAAGTGCTTATAAGTCAAAAATAAACCAAAAGCCATAAGCTGGTCACCCCCAGCTTATGAATTTTTAGCCTATAAGCACTTTAAGTTTGACCAAGATTTTTACTATTTTATCCTTAAAATATTCTATTTTAGAACATATCTCTCACAATGATACTCATTGCCTCAAATATTTTGTCCTATTTAGGTTTATTTTTTACTGAGAAACTTTTGTCAATTTTTTAATTATTATACCTTATGATTATATGCTTATCATAAAATAAATTATATTTATCATAAAAATTATCTTATTTAAGCATAGTTATATTTAAAATAAAATGACAAATAGAATATTTTTGTATTTCGAATCGATCTGGAATCTAAAATTTTAAAGAAATTAAGCCCTTATAAATGTAAATAGTTCTAAAGTTATTTAAGTCATTTTAACAGAAAAAGAGTTTATCAGCACTTTCTTTATCAAATATTGTAGCAACTTATTATCAATTTCAACACTTATACCCAAACACGTAATTGCTTATTTACTAAATCAGCTTCAGCACTTAAAAGTGCTTTTCAACACCTAATGCTTATTAGCTACTTCAAATCAGCTAATCCAAACGGGCTCATAGTGTCTCACGTGCTTATCTATCAGTAAATCCAAACAACAATTTGAGCATCTTAGGTTTTTATGTTACATTTCAACATTTATATAAAATATAAATGCGATTTTTAAGGGAATAGGCTAAAATCTCTTACCTTCCAACTTATTGTGCCAAGTAACAAAAGATTACACTGAGCTTTGTACCAACATTGGCTATGTTTATAATCTTTAGCCCCATAACCTTACTAATCGAAAAAGCGCAAATATAATGTCTCTGAAGTGTATCTTATGGTTATGCTATTTAACAATCTATACAGAAGAATTTATTGGTGGTTGACGCTTTGTTGTTGGACATTGATCAATTTTTATGGGCTGAATGAAGCACTATTATGCTCAAGTGACTTGAGAAATGGGCTTCTTACAAAGTCACAATTGGAACTTTGATATAGGATTAGGAATAAGCATTTTGATTGGGTATATTAAAAGTGAAGATTAAATGTTAAAAAACAAATTAAGCAAAAGTATGAAGAGAGAAGAGAAACGACAGAAGTTCCATGAAGGCCTCCTTCGAATGCTCTATCCTCCTCCACCTTCACCTCCTCCCCAAGTAAATCCCCATTGTTTTTCTACTGCCTCCATCATTACCCTTTCTTTTTCATAGTGTTAAATGACTAGTATTATTTTCTTATTCCCATTACAATTTGTAGGAAGAAAACGATGAAGAACCACTTCACATTCTCGGTCAAGGCATCAACTTGGATCAAATTCCAGGTTTTCCTTTTTACAAGTACTCCATTAGTACAATTTAGATGTCTTTGCTTTTCTTGCTAGAAATGGAGTTGAAGTAAATGGTCTTATATGCACATGAAGTGGAAGAGGCTAGGGGCTCTTCCTCCTCGGGTGACCAAGCGTATGATCATGGGCCTGATGAGAAGCTCAGAAGGGCCCAGAGAAAGAGGCTTCGACGAAAGAAGCTTAAGGAAGCTGCCTCGCGCCGCCAGAATATAATTGGGCCGTTGTTGCCTACCGCAGAGAATGATCGGAAGGGTGAAAATGTGAGTACCACAGAAGAGGAACCACAAGGTGTTCGAGAAAATGCCAAAGAGCCATGTATGCTTTGAGGAGTAAAAAGTAGCAATAGCAGTAGTTTTCTTGTCTCTCTCCTTATTTTCACTTTGGATTTATTTTATATGAATTGAAAGTGGAAATTAATTTTTACAGAGGCAGTATAATTCAGCATGCTTAAAAGGTTTTCTCATCTTATTCTATGAAATATTACCTTTAATTACCTTAAGGTGACCTGACACTGCAAACAACATTTTACATACTGAATGTATATAACTTTTAGCGCTTGCCCATTATCAGGTGATGCAGACTCTTGCTCGAAACAAAACAGACTAAAACAAAGAAGAATTGCTAAACGGTTGGTTGGTGGCAGCTCAAAATCAACTAGTGAAGGCGACAAGAGCTAAAGCTTGGCGGATTTCTTGTGAAATGAAGGACCACTGGAACAGGCAGAAGTTACGAAGGATTGCATATAGATGTTCAATAACACGCCGCGGAAGACAATAACAATCCTAAAAGATCTTTTCGTGTTTTAAATTTATTTATATGTCAATAGATCGGATCTAAGACGTACCTGGTGAAGAAAGTCTCGTTTCAAATTCTTCGATAGTGCGAAGACTCTATGCGTATACATTGCTATCAACTCTTTGATCAATGAAACCCGCAAACAAATTGAACGGAAAACTTGTGCTGAAATTTTTCTCAAAAATCTCAACTCAAATTAGAAGAACAAAAAATATTTTTCTTGTAATTGTATTTTCTCTCTTGGCTTTGTATTGCACTCTCACTTTCACAAAGTGTTTTTCTTCTCTAGAAAAATTATGCAAATTTTGTTCCATCATCTTTTTATATAGCATCACTTATAAACCTCTTTCCTTTTTGGTTGAGGTAATAATTTACTTAGGGTAAAAGTTTATTCCAAAATAAACTTCAATCGAATTGTATGGAAAATTGAAAATCGCGTCTTAATTAAAACGTGACTGCCGAACCATTCCTGAACTCAAAGTTGGATTCTGGTCAATCCAACTTAATGTTGGATTCAATTTATACGTCCATTTATGGACTTTACCTTTTCAATTCCAAATTGATAAATTAATTGATATTATATATATAACCTTTATAAATCAATATTAATTCATATTATATATTTCACATATATATTTCAACCAAAAAAATAATTTATTTTCTATTCCAAATAAAAGCTTCAATTTGTTCACAATACTAATTATTCTGTGCTAGCAAAGAATATAATAATATTTCATTTGGACTAATAACTAAATTATTTGACTAATTAAATTCCTTAATTTAATTATCAAGTAATAAAGTAATTAATCCTTTAGCAAAGATCAGAACACTCATTAGTGTGCGACCCCATAGGTTCAATACTAATCTGGTAGTAAATTGACCACATCAATATACTAATCAAGGGTGGCGTCTAGCAACACTCCTTAACGGCCGGATAGCATGAAGTATACAATTTACTCTCAAGAACCCGTAGAAGAATAATGTAGTAATTCCTTCTGTCCTTATAGCTCTGGATCACCCTAGGATATGGTTCAATTGTCAAATCCTAATAGGCGACCAACTATATGTTCATGTCAAATATAATCGACCATTGAATGACCTAAGAAACTCATTTTTTCTTTCATTCAATTGCTCTGGCCAAGGTCTTAATTTGGTCGTTTATAATTCATGACAACATGGAGCTTAAATTCATTACCAAGAGTTGACAGATTCCATCTTGATCAATCACTAATTCTACAAGTATTCATTCGTATCCAATATCCTTTCAACTATCGCCCTAGGGCTATAGGTGTCTAGTATTAAAGCAACAAATAACTTGTCAATTACTATGACGATCTCAGGTTAAAGGAAATTCTTATATCACATTCTCAAGAGAATATCCTATTGATAGTTTATGGTAATTCTAACCATTAGGGAATTATCCAATGAGTCGGTTCAATGATCATATCTATATATACATCATCTATCTATGTGATTTAGTTAATGAGATCAACTAATCTTTATCTCATAAAGATGATCACATAAATATTGATCTAACCGGATTACTAATGTCCAAATTAATAATCCTATGATCAAGAATAAATTTAGATTAAGTTGTAAGAGACTTTGCTCTCATTATCATGATCTCTATCACGATGATAAGTCTTAAAATTTAACCAAGGACCTTATCAAATTAATCAAACAATTAATAATAACTATGATAAAAGAATGTCATATATTTTTATATCGAATAACGTTCACAAAAATATGTTCAAATCATCAAATATGAGATTGGATATAGGGCATATCTACTATATCCGTAACAATTTAAACTATAACTGATAAGAAGAAATCGAATTTGATACTACTAGTGACAAAATTTTAAGAAGCAAGTTGGATTTGTATCTTTTCAAAAATATCTAAGGCATAGTTTTTATTTTGAACTGTGTGGTTCATGTTCGTGTACGTATTGCAGTCTGCAGATGTCTTTTTAGTAATTTAGTGCTTCAGCGTAATGTAGTACTGTAAATATTTGTCAATTGATTCATTTTCATTTAATGACATAACTTAATGACACGTTGGAGAAGCCTTGTTTTAAGAAATACTCATAGTTTGGAGAAAACCTGTTTCCGAGAACATTCGAAGTTTTCCGGAAAAGGCATTTGTCTGGCTTGAACTAGTGGTGTAACTTCAAATTAATGACAGTGCTGATCCATTTCCATGGAGCTCTGGCTTCTGAAAATGAGAACTTCGGGCGTCTTACTAACAAAGAGAAACACTACTAGAAATCTGGAAAAAAACGACCAAAATTTGACGACTAAAATTGGTCTGTCAAGAAAAGCGATCAACGTTGGTCGCTAAATTGGAGAAAATAATTAAATAATTATTCTAAATACATTAGCGACCAAGGTTGATCGCTTTTTGGTCGATTATTTGGTCAAAATGTTGACCGGACTGGTCAGACTTGCTTGGTCAAAGAAATACTGAAATTAGCGACCAACTTTGGTCGCTAAAGTGGGACCCACTTATAAAATTTTAATAATTATATTATTATTTAAAAAAATTATAAAATATAAATAAATATAATTTAAAATTAGCGATCAAAGTTGGTCGCTAACGAAAGGAGAAGCAGATAGAGACCAACTTTGGTCGCTAATCTGGGACCCAGTTATAAAACTTTATTAATTATATTATTATTTAAAAAGATTATTAAATATAAATAAATATAATTCAAAGTTAGCGACCAACAAGGGAAAGCAGATAGAGACCAACTTTGGTTGCTAACCTGGGACCCAGTTCTAACGTTTAACAAATATACTATTATTTTAAATATTATATAAAATATAAATAAATCTGATTTAAATTTAGCGACCAACTTTGGTCGCTAATTTTAATTTTTTGGATAATTAGCGACCAACTTTGGTCGCTAATTTGAAATTCTGGATAAATAGCGACCAAAGTTGGTCTCTTTTCAGGTCAACATTGGTCAAAATTAAAAATCACTTTTGTATTTACTATCTAAATAATATAAATGTAATATGTTAACACTTTTGTAATACAAGGGATGAATACACTAAAATATACTCCACATGCTATATATATATATATATATATATATATATATAGTTAAAGTAGTACAACGAAGCATGTAATATATATATATAGATGCGTCGTTGAATATTAAAAGCAAAACGTCTCGACTTATATCAATTAATCTGTTATAATTTATTCATCGACTTATAACCTAGTGATGAATGAATGTAATACATCAATTCTGTTACAATACAAATAATGAATACAATATCATGTACTATAACATGCTATATATGTAGTTAAAGTAGCACGAAGTGTGTGTGTTATATATATACACACACTAACATATACTATAACATTCAATTCGTATCCTAAAATTTTAATTTATAAACTAAAAGTCGATGAATCAATTATAACATATTAATTGATATAAGTCAAGACGTTTTGTTTCTAATCAATACTCTCTCTCTCTCTCTCTCTCTATATATATATATATATATATATAGCTTATACACTATATACTATACTATACAATATATATCAAATATAGCTTGTATACTATGCACTTAGTATATATAATACACTATACTCTCTCTCTCTCTCTCTCTCTCTCTCTCTCTCTATATATATATATATATATATATATATATATATATATATATATATATATATATATATAAGTGTATTTATTCTTTAAAATTCAGATAATATTATTGTGAAAAATATAATAAAATTTAAAATAAAAAATATTTCAATAGTAATAAAATATCTATTTTCTATTCTATTACAAAAGAAGGGTAGCACACAAAAATATTAATCAAGCAATATGCTAATATTTTCTACTAATGATGTAATTATACTAAATATTGGATAATATGATAAGGAAAAAATATTGTATAAAAACGTTATTCGACTATATAAGTCCCTTTAATTTAATATAGATTTTATTCATTAAAATTCATACAATTTATTCTATCTATATGGAATAGGAGAAGCAAATCAATATAATAATGGCAAGTGTAGCAACAAAAATTTAACAAGTGTCAAATTTTTTGACAATTGTCACGACCCAAATTCCATTATAGGTCATGATGGCGTCCAACACCATTTTCAGGTAAGCCAACCCTAATCAACTAGTGAGTTCTCATTATTTTACCAACACATCCCCAACATTTCTGTAACGGCCCGACCGGTTGTTTTGAGCTTTTGCACTTCGCTCGCCAGTTTTCGGGTATGACTTGCCCCGTATGATGTATTATGACTTATGTAAATCATTGGTATTGGGTTTCAGGTTAATCGGAATGAATTTGGAAGAACAGTCTCAGTTGAAAGCTTAAAATTTGAAAGGTTTGACCAAGATTTGACTTGTGTGTATTTGATCTCAGATTGAAATTTTTATGGTTTGGTTAGCTCCGTTAGGTGATTTGGTACTTAGGAGCGTGATCAGAATGCATTTTGGAAGTCCGTGGAAGGTTTAGGCTTGAATTGGCGAAATTGAGATTTCGGCGTTTTCTTGTTTATAGGCGAGATTTTGAAATAGGGGTCGGAATGGAATTTCGAGAGTTGAAGTAGCTTCATTGTATTATTTGGGATGTGTGTGCAAAATTTCAGGTCATTCGCACGAGATTTGATAGGCTTTTTGATAGAAAGCATAATTTAAGAGTTCTTGGAGTTCTTAGGCTTGAATCCTATATTAAATTGGTGATTTGATGTTGTTGTGAGCATTCCGAAGTTTTGAACAAGTTTTAACAATGTCATGGGATGTGTTGGTACAATTGGTTTGAAGTTCCGGGAATTCCGGGTAGGTTCCAGGTAGGTTCCGGGATGTTTTAGGCCGAAAATCATAGCTGTAGCAGGTCGAGAGGGGTTGCAGGCATCGGAACCCACCCGCGCGGTCCGCACAAAAAGAAGTGCGGCCGCGGTAGGTGTTGTGCGGACTGCACAAAATGAAGTGCCTCCGCGGTAGGTGCTGTGCGGATCGCACAAAATGCTGTGCGACCGCGGTCGGGAACGTTACACTGGTCCTACTTC